ATACAAAATTTGTTTTTTTTTTTTTTTTTTTTTTTTTTTTTTCTAATTGTTTTTTTTTAAATGAAATAAATAAGCTTAAGGTTAGTTTGCTTAGGTTAGTAGGTATAAGGCAGTGAGCACTTAAATAATATAATAAATAATAAAAATAAATTATATAAATATACATACATACATATTTAAAAAATATTATCATTTATAACTTTTTGGGATATGTGTGAGTATTTTTGATCGCTTTTTTCCTGATTCCGAGACACGATCTATGGTGCTAGAGTGGCTGAATTTTAATCCTTATAAGAGAATTGGAAGTGCCCCTCGAAATGATTACTGTATTATTTTGAGCTTAGTTTGGGTGAAAAATTCGAAATCTCAGAAACTTGTAGGAGATAAACAATTTTGTAGGAGAAGGAAACCAAGGATTCTTTGATCAGGTAAGAAACATAAATTTGTTCCCTGCATTCTAAAGGGTTTTCTTAACCCAACCTAAAATCATATTGCACGACGAAGTAAATAAATGCAAACTCATAAGCCTCATTTCCCTCAAGCTTAAATATTTGTAAGCCTAATTCTGATATGGACAATTCACCCGAAAGCCGAACACGTATGATATATGAGAGACAAATCACCTGTTTGTGATATATGACCTGATGACAACCTTTCGGATATAAAAGAAGCCTCCAATAATAAGAAAAGAAGTAGAAAATTATTTGATCTCCGAGGTGGGACAACATACTCCTTAAAGGTTAATTATGTATTGATTAATTAAATTTTATAGCGTCCATCAGTCCCCCGCACTCACTGAACTACTTTAATTATTGATTGAACTCAACGTCGGATAATTGAAAGTAGTAGCATCTACATTCCTCCCGTTAAGATTTCCATCATGTCGTAAATGATTAAAAGTGCTGTGAGGGGTGAAAGAGGTCTACATAGACATCAGTCGAAAATATATTGCGAACAAAATCGCAGGTTTTTTCAATATATACCATGATCTCAGATGAAACCCATTTCTGGCTTAATAGCCGCGTCAACAAACAAAATTGTGGTTATTAAGGTGAGGAAATACCAATTGGATAATATTCGATCGAATAGAACACGTGCAGCACGCAATGAAGAAAATATAGCAGCCGTAGCTGAGAGTGTACATGAAGGCCATGGAAGGCCGATTCAGCGCCGCTCGCAACAATTCGGACTGGACGTGTGGAACGACTCAGCCGCGCGACCTTCACAAGCGACATCCTTTCACTCTATGGACAAGAACCGACGTTTTCGACCCAAATTTTGATCAGCGATGAGGCCCATTTCTGAGTCAATGGGTATGTAAATAAGCAACATTGTCGCATTTGGAACGAAAAGCAACCTGAAGAGATTTAATAGCTTCCATTTCAAACAGAAAAAAAAACGGTTTGGTGTAATTTGTAGGTTGGTTGAATCATCGGAATTCGGAGAAAAAGTAACCGTCAATGACAACAGTTATTGCGCCATATTGACCAACTATTTGATGCCTGAAATTAAAGTTCGTGATCTCGACGACATTTGGTTTCAACAAGATGGCGCCAATTCCTACACATCGCATTAGTCAATGGATTTATTGAGAGAACATTTTGGTGAATCTACACCTACATCTACACCGACATCACGTGGTATCACACCGTTATGTCTAAAGTATATGCGGACAATATCATTTCTATTCAGGCCCTGGAGCAAACATCACTCATGTCATTCGCCAGTTACCAGAAAAATGGGACTCAACGGATGCTCATCTGAGACGTATCTGCGGCCAACATTTGAAAAGTATAATCTTCGAAAAATAGATGCCAAAGGAGGTTCTTTCTAATGATGCTAAAATAGATCATCCTTTATCTTAGTATAAATATATGGTATATAAAGGTAAAAACTCAGTATAAGAATAATATTGGTCAATTTGAGTAACAGGGGTATAACAGGTGGACTTACACTTTCAAATAAATTATAAAATTTTTTGTATACATTTTATCACTTTCGGGTCCAACAGCCTATGGTTTTCTGACAAAAAATCACTTAGAATGGGGCTCTTGACAGATTACGTCCAAACATTTGGTGCACAATTTCTAATTTCTATTTCTAACGTATCGATTGTGTTTCTCTTGAAATCATCTCATTTTCGCGGGTCCGACTTAGATTTCTATATGGTCCAGTATTGTCAAGTCTGAACTGAACTGAAGCAGGGTATATTAAGTTTATGGCGGAAATTGTAACACCCAAGAGGAAATGTGAAATATACTAAATGGCAGATATATATAAACGATCAGCAAGTCGAACTAAGCCGAATTATATAGCCAAAAGTACTTAATTGCAAGAAACAAAAAAAAAAATAAATCTGAATAAACACATTTCAAGTTAAATGGTAAAAGTAAAAATACCCAAAAACAAATTAAACAAACTTCCGTTACTATGGCGATGCCTAAGTGACATCAAAATATAAATAATAAACAAAGTTTTATGAAAAATAAACAAAAATTTGTAAACAAAAATATAAACAAACAATCAACAGGTGCCACACAACGTCAGTGTTGCCATGGCAAAGCCAAAAAAAAACGAGGTGAGTACTCTTAATTGTTTGCTTTCATTTCAGAAATTTTCTTTTCACTGAAAGCAATAATAATGAAATACTTTCAATTCGTAGAATATTTTTTCACTGAAAGCCACCGTACAACTTAAACGACAATTGAACTTTGATAATTTTTAATTTTCAGAAAAAGAAAATTATTCTTCAACGAAGAAAAATTGTGAAAATATATTGATATACGGAAAAATTAAGAAAAACCAAATAAATATATGAATATAACGCGAATATTTGCAACAGCAAAATAAAAAACAAAAACAGAAACAGAAAAGGAGTATAACAAATCATGGATCGCAGGAAAATGGAGAAGTTGCGCTCTCAAGCGAAAGAAATGCAAATACGATATGCACCGTTACAGGGAAAGAAGGCGACATTTCACGCGAATTTACCGCAAGTCAGCAGACGCGCCAGCGCCATAGATAACAAAACAGCACGTCCAACAGTCGCTATGAAGACAGGTGCATCGCTCATACCGGATTTGAATAAACTAATTAATCGAGCGCGCGAATATCCCGATGACCGCTTCATCTATTTGACTTATATGCTCAGCAAATCGAGCGAATACTTCACGCCCTACAGTTTGATGTGAGTATTGGCAAAGAGTGGAATATGGTCTGTGGTAACAATGTATAACGTTCGCGAGGTATTCAGATTTTAATGAAGATGGATTTTTTTTTTTCAAAACAAACGTTACTTCAATGATTTTTTTTTTTGAGAGCATATAAAAGGCTAAAATGTTGCCTACTTTTAGGATGTATACAAAGCGCAGTTGCCGATAAAACTTATAAAGGAATATGCGCCTTAATTTATACTGAGTACGTTGGTTGCCCCAATATAGCACTAGGATGACCAAAACTTTATCGTAACTTAAACTATTCATTTCGGCGAAAAAATGGAATTAAATATGCGAACGTTTTCGGTCAAAAATGTTTAACAATTTTCAACATAGGTTAGCTGAGAAACAGTGCTTTGATGAGCTTAATTCAATTATTGGCGACGAAGCTCCATTAAAGACCAGTGTTTAACGATGGTATGAAGAATGCAATACAATATAGGGCATAGGTCACTCCAATACGAATTTCGTGAAGTTCGTCCAAAATCAGTGCCCTTTCCGGAAACGATGATACGTATAAGAATAGATTGGTCCATAAACAACGAAAAGTTCATTCTAATTTTAACGACTCTCAATGTGCCGCTGAGATTTCCTGACACTCTGAAAGCAAAATTTTGGTTTTAGATGGATTTGAAGGCATATGAGTACCGGAAAAGAGCAATGTGGATTTCTTCACAACCCTACGAATGAAATATTGTATATAAGCCTAATAAATTTAGATAGGCATTCCCTAACTAAAGCAATACTCTTAAATTTCGAATACTGAATTTATAAAGTTCAGGCATGATGAGGGACCTTTTGCGACCACTTCAGTTTAACTTTCTTTAAAAAACTTTCTTATTCCATACACCCTTTATATTTCCACCATCTTTCGAACAGGGAAGTGGAATATGCGGACTTGCCGAATAAACATCAATACTTCACGATGAGCAGACATGGCGTCACCTATTGGCATTTGTCTGAGAACTTTTTCACGCCACTCACACAATGGCAACAGGAGTTTCAACAGTTTCTGAGCATCATTAAGATACATAGTTTCGCCGTGTTTCGTGTGTGGAAGGGTTTCAAAGTCTGGGAGAAAACGGTAAAATGGCGCAAGCAGAATGACGCACGCAATTACTTGAGGGAACATCTTTTCATTGCCATACCACCCCTGGCCAAGGCGATACTACAGTTTCGTGCAGATATTGTACAGTTGAACAAGTTGTGCTTTCTCAATGTCGCAGGTAATCGTTTTTATACTGTTTTTGGTGTTCAATAGTACTGTTATTTTAATTAAAACTTCAGTTATCGAAGAATGGCATCCATTCTATTTTTTGGAGACGCAAATGCGCGTATACGAACGCATGAAAGCGACACTGCG